GCCAATCAGCAGCAGTGGTAGCACCTCCGGGATAACATATTTAAGAAACGGAGCCGGGGGGGAAACCAAACTGCACGACTGCAGCTGGAGAGAAGAGTGAGAACTTAGGAGAGGAGCAACTCTGCAGACACCAAGGTCAGTGAAGAAGGAGGGGAGGAGGTGCTCCAGGCACCGGAGCAGAGATTCCCCTGCAGCCCGCGGTGAAGACCCTGGGGAGGCAGCTGTGCCCCTGCAGCTCATGGAGGTATCCACCTCCAGATATCCACCTGCAGCACGGGAGGGACCCCATGCCAGAGCATGTGGATTTGCCTGAAGGAGGCTGTGATCCCGTGGGAAGCCCATGCTGGAGCAGGCTCCTGGCAGGACCTGTGGCTCCGTGGAGAGAGGAGCCCAGGCTGGAGCAGGGTTGCTGGCAGGGGCTGTGACCCTGTGGGGGACCCACCCTGGAGCAGTCTGCTCCTGAAGGACTGCACCCCATGGAAGGGACCCATGCTGGAGCAGCTTGTGAAGAACTGCAGCCCATGGGAAAGACTCATGTTGAAGTTTGTGGAGGACTGTCTTCCATGGGAGGGACCCCACGCTGGAGCAGGGAAAGGGTGTGAGGCGCCGACCTCACACTGGAGCAGGGGAAGAGTGTGAGGAGCCCCCCCCTGAGGAGGAAGGAGCAGCAGACACAACGTGTGATGAACTGACCGCAAACCCCATTCCTCATCCCCCTGTGCTGCTGGGCAGGAGGAGGTAGAGAAATCAGGAGTAAAGTGGAGCCCAGGAAGAAGGGAGGGGTGGAGAGAAGGTGGTTTAAGATCTGATTTCTCATTATCCTGCTCTGATTTGACTGGTAATAAATTAAACTGATTTCCCCAGGTTGAAACTTGTTTTGCCCATGACAGTAATTGGTGAATGATCTTTCCCTGCCCTTATCTCAATCCACAAGCCTTTCATTATATTTTCTCTCCCCTGTCCAGCTGAGGAGGGGAGTGATAGAGTGGCTTTGGTGGGTACTTGGCATCTAGCCAGGGTCAACCCACCACAGAAAGAAAACCCCAAACCATCCCCCAAGCACACACACATGCTTCTATTCTAAACAAAAAAAACCCTACTCAGCCAGACTCAGTCAATGAAATAATTTCTGCCATATTTTACATATATGAATACCAAAACTTGGTTCTTCGATGTACACAACCATCTGGTGCTTGAAAGAAGTACCTGGCATTCAACCACCACGAGAGCATGAAGGATCTCTAAGCATCTCTACACCTGATCCCAGTGCTACAGCACAGGATGGTTTCTGGTGTAGGGACATTTGGTCTGAGACCAAACCATCTTTGCACTCAGCATAGCTAGTCCAGCTGTTGCAACCTTGGTTTAGAGCTTACTACAGTCATTATGACATAAAACAGCCTGAGCAAGGATCACAATTTTGACTAATTTCTCTAAGGGATAAATCTCAGCCATCTCGAGTTACCTGACATTACGTGTATAAGTTGCCTTCAGCAATTTCATTTTTACGTGCAGGTTTCTCATTAACAACACGTGTCTGCCTTACAACTGAAAAAGGACTAAGGCCTTTTGAGTAATATTGTGGAGAGGGACTTCACAGATGAGGGTATGGTTTTTGCTCTGCCAAGGACATCAGATGTGACTATACAAATCACTTGGTGTTTTTGCTTTTGCCTCCCCTTTTCAAAACCCTTCAGAATTTTTGTATAGACAAATGTAAGAACAACTAGGAGAACTTCCTCTACTAATGAGATGAGGAGCCATATACAGAAATAAAATTACAACATTTTTCATTTTAGGATTATTTTATACTCTGCTTATAAATGTTGCCATGCTAACTGTTGAAATTACAATTGTCTATGCTGAGTATGCATCACCTATGATTTAATTTTTTGAGATGTAAGCTTAAGTACTTCTGCCATTTCTGAAAAATGTCAGAGAAAAATACAGCTTGTACAGGTAAGCAGTTGCCATACATTAGAAACAGTCAAGTTCCCGGTGATCATTTTAACAAGTATTATTGTGTATATAAAGGATATGTAAGTAAAACACAAATTCTAAAAAGATAATTGAATAATTTATGTTTTGTAGCACATTCTTAATACTGCTTTTATATTACTAAATTACACAATTTGAAAATATACCACAAAATATTTCTATTGTAGAAAAAAAACAAATAAACAATACAAACATTTCAGATTAAACTAGCTGTTTTGCTCGATTCCATTCAGAAAGGGAAGATGTTACACAAACTGGAGCTTAAACTATTGAAAGCTTCTAGTGCAGTTAAGCTTAGCTTGTAATTTCACAACCTAATAAAAGATGTGTCTGAAAGAACATTAATACTTCTCACATACTGACATACTTCACATCATACCGATAACATAAAAAAAGTGTTTATCTGCTCAGTGTTACAATTTAATTCATAGCAGTTCAGAATTGGCTTAGAGTCAAAAACAAGAAAGTGTGCAGCTTTGCCCTCACCCCCTTTTGTTTTAAAATGCTTCATTTATAGTGATTTTAATGTAACTTTTCAGACATAGTCATACAGCAGATGACACATACCATACCTTAAATGTAGAAAGTCCATAAAGTCTTGCAGTGTGAACAGTCACTTGTGAAATATTTGTAATATTAGATATAAAATCCTCAAGGTATTTACAGGCTTGTTCTAGGTGTGTCGTGTTTATGATGATTTGAACAAGCTACAAGAGACAAAAAAATCTTGTAAAAATCCTGACTGTATCACCCATTGTCATTTGATTTTGTAAATGGTTACTTTTTTCAGCAACAATGCTACTAGAAATTAATTACAGTATTTCAGGTGACCGCCTATTACCTCTTAGTTTTCTAGTTTGCTTTCAAATACCACTAAGGAGTAATACTACAGTTTACATACTAATGATGCCATTTTAAAAATAAAGACTGCAGACACCTACGCAGTGAAATAAATCCAACTGATATTTTAGAATTTAAAAAGGGAAAACAAAGGAAAATATATTGCCAAAAGCAAATAACTAATTTGTACTATAAAAATATTTTTTTTTTAAAAATTACTGCTATAAAAAAAATATTTCACAATATTGTCTGCAAAATGATGCATTCTGAAGTTAGGGAATTTCAAAAATAAAGTTGTCAATTCCTCCTCCCCAGCAATGGTAACAATCTGCTTGTATATGATATAAATGTTTTTATAAGCAAGACCTGCATTCCCATTCAGTTCACAAACTAGACAATGTACATAATGCATAATAACTGAATTATCAGTATATTGTATCTTAATTCTCACTGCATATTGTCTGTTTTAGTGAACACTAATCTAATGCTTGGTAAAATAAGTTTTCTCTTTTTAACATTTTTCTCATAAAATGTATTGATAATGAAACACCTCAAAAAATACTAGTGCATTTATTTTCATATCCTTGAAAATATTCCTGTACTGATTTCAAGAACACAGAAAACAACATCTCAGAAAAATTGTATGGCTTGTCTTACTAACATGGCAATGTATGATTTACAGAACTCCTTCCTCATCTTCTTCTTCTTCTTGATTTAATTTATACAAGAGGTCCTTGCAGTTTAAAAACAACGTTCAGTATGACATAACACTGCTCTAATGGCAACAGCGTAAGTCCTTCTCAGCATGTTTCAGTAGGTACCTGCTGCCTCCTGACACTGCATGTACCTGCAGTGAATGTTCAGAGTGATTCACTGTCTCACTCTGTCTTATTCTGTCCAATAAACAAATTAAACCAAGAGTCCTGATGAAGAAACAACGTGCACAAGCCTACTAAAATATTTTAGTTGCAATTACTATGGAAAAAGTTTCATGTGTTAGAATGAACTTGAGATTTTAGATTCCTTGTTCTGGTAGGTTTACTCTGAAACTTTACACAGTTCATGTGAGAGAGATTTTCTTCGCCTCCCCCCCCCCCCCAAAGAAACTCAACAATGTGCTACTAATTGTTAAACAGAAGCAGAACACGCGAACCATGCTCCGTATGCAACCAAAGTAGTAAGAGTCTTCGGCTTACTTCTTGCAAATCTCTGTTAATCATACAGAAGACAGAACTCTTTCACTGTCATCTCTGTCTCTCAAAAGGCATCCCTGTGCAAATATACTTCCAACTAGACCCAACACTGTATTGTTATTATTTATGTAACACATATTGATGCTTTTTTATACTTCATCTTTCACCTCTTCAAATTTTCAGTTTGAAAGCAAACATTACTTGTTTTTCTTACACAAACCTTAATACCACAGTATATCTACATTTACACGAATAGTTTTAGCACTAATTGTCTTAAAAAACATGGGTTTGAGTATGTGTTTTAAAACTTACCTCGGTTAAACCTATATGAGGTTTTTTAATTAGGTTTTGTAAACAACTACTTAGAGTTCTTGTAAGCAGCAAATTTGTAGATTTTCTGAGCATATCATCTATTTCTGTTGAGCTGAAAAAAAAATGTTTATTTTTATAACTACGATGTACATGACAATACTTTGACAGTAATACTTAATATTTTTATTTTTTCCCTGCAAAGAGAACTTTTCACGTTAAGAATTCCCTACGTGCATTTAATTTCTGGTTGCTCCAAGTCTTCTGTGCTCCGACACACAGAACACCTCTTTCACTTACCAAATTATCCATTAACTGACTTTCAACACTGAAGCAAAACATTTTTTTTTTTTTTTTTTAGATTTTGGACATGTTTATTGACACAGCAGTTCGGGAAAGGGTCATTAGGGGGTTTTAATGAGTTACTGAGGAGGTCAAAATGTGCTCATTAGTACGTGCAAATTATAAACAGTATCAATTAAGAATGTGTGAAAGCGAGTCATTTACATCTTTAACAGTGCAGAAGCGGGTGACCAGCCACGAATTCATAGATTCCAGATCTATGAATGTTATTTTATGTAATTAAAACTAAGCTTTTGAAGGCCACAAGAGGAAAGGAAATGGGAGAATTGTGACGTTTTCCATCAGAAAAAGGTGGGATGGAAGAGAGAATAAGGATGCAGACAGCACATTTTGTTGCAGGAATCACTGCTAAGGAAACTCAAAGCACTGAGAAGGGAAAGACCATTTGAAGTAATCGTGGATGCTACACAACTATTTCTGAAATGGTCAGTACCAAAGTATATTTTTCAAACCTTACATGCTTTGTTAAATAAATAAATAAAATCTCTAGATTATTCAAACCAGTCATTACTGTTTAAAAAAACCCAGCAGTATTTCAGACTGCTTACCATGCTAAGCTGCTTTCACCCATACAGACATGCACATGTTGTATACAATACATATATATACACACATGTGAAATATATGCAATAGCATTGTGAATCATGATTAAATATAATGAATTATATATAATGAATTATATATGTAAATTATATGTAAATTACAAAACAAGCACAGCTAACAAACAAGAAAATATATTTTCAATTTAATATATATTTTTAGGTCATCTGGAAGTTACAGGTTACTTTACAGTCACACTCCTGACACTTTAAGCTTACCTGCGGTGAAGTGACTCTGAAAACTTAAGGCTTGCATAAATAAATTCCTTAACCTGGATATAAATCTGAGGCACTGACTGAGACATTGGAAGCTTCTTTGGAAAGGATTGCTGTGAAAATAAAAGATAATAATATCTTACACTTGAAACTGATTCTAAGGAGAGCTTGGTATTAAACGCAACAATTAGAAAGCCACTTAACAGTATCAATATTTTAAGCTATCTTAAGCTTTTCTATTTTTCATCAAACAGTGGTATGCGTTGGGCTGACTGCTTAAATAGCTTATAAGCAAAACAGAACTTTATAATGTATTTAAATTACAATAAACTTTGTAGACTTTATGTAATTTAAGATCCCTCTGTAGAAAGCAATTTACAAACACACATTAAAAAACAGGTCTCAAACCACTTTTAATCTGAATGAACAAGACAGATGTAAGTGGGACGAGACGTTCAAAAATGCAAACACTTTTTTGCCAAAGAAAGCTGTGCAAAAAAAAAAAAAGGTTTGAGATGTTCAATAGATCTGTGATTTTCAAAGCTTCTTGAGTATGTTTAGGCATGTACATTTACTGTCATATATTTACTTTCTCTCAATGTCTCACAAAACCAGAGCAATTTGAATTCATTTCAACAATTTGGATTAACATGTGGGAAATACTAGGAATAAAATCATGCTTCTTACTTCATGGACATTGTATTTGGGAGGACAAAATGAAATAAATCTACACATACCAAACAGATATTTCTGCACTGAATACATAATTTTTTAAATCTGTAAAACAAATAATTTTCTGTTTATGATTAATGCATGAGAAAAATAATTAACAACTGGTATCATCCCTGGAGAATTCCATTTCTCTAAAAAAAAAAAAAGCATTAATCAACAGCAGCTTAACATCTGTGTATTAAAAAACCAAGACAAAACAGATTACCTTGACATTCTCCTAATCATACCTCTTTATTTAATATTAGGTGGTGTGACAATTATGTGGTGCAAGTGCCAGGCTTTCGTGTCATTCAACAGTGAGAGCAAACTTTTTTTTAACAGTAAAATTTACTTCAAATGCATGTTCATCTGATTTAAGCAATTAATTTTTACAGATAAAACAAGTGCTATTACATACAACTATTTTGGATCATTACAATATATTGTCAGCAGGGCTTGAATCTCAACCTTCATATATTCAACAATCTAAGAGAAGTAATTCTGTATCCTTTACAGTGTCTGACCAATACAGGAGGACACAGACACTTTCTGTCTGCTTATTAGAGCAGGCAGCAAGAAAAAAAAACCCCACCACCACAGATACAAGCCAACTGTTTCACTTCTGAATACAGAAAGGGAGTAAAATTACATGATATAATCAAACCATGAAAGTCTGGCATATTCAATCTAAACAGCAGAGTGCAGACAAGACTGTTTTGTCCAGTCAGACTGGATTTGCTGTGTTAAACATCTAGTAGGTTCTGGTCATAATTCTGCCTAATGTGCTGCAAGCAACTCCTATGATAAACTTACCTGTAAAATGTGAGGGTGATTCATCCTAACCTACAGTTAAAAATGAGACACTCACTTACGTCTGTCTCTTTCTATACTAAATGGAGAGAAACAGACATTTTCAAAGGTGAAATTCCCCTTAACCTGTAAAAGGCATCAGAGATGCATCAAATGGAATTAGCCCTCTGGGGTGTCTATTCCTCTCCATCAACTACACAGGCTCCTTCAGCGACTAGCCTGAACTTACACATCTTTTTTTTTTAAATTTTTTGTTTTAAACATCGAAATGTAGATTAAATTAACCTACCCAATAGGATGTCCCAGTGCCTTATAGCCTGAGGCAGCAACAGAGAGAAGTGGATGAGATTATAAACAGCAATCAACAGAAGTGATGTTGGCGCATTTATAAAGTTTCCCCTCCACATGGATTCCCTGCTATCTAATAATATATAAGGTAACACTGCAGTCTTTCTTTCAACAAGGATACTTAATGGTTCTTTTCCTCCTCTATCCCCCTGCCTAGTTGACAAAACTTCAGGAACTCAATTATCTTTGAGACTTCTGCCCCTTTGCTAAATTTAGTTGAAGTCAACTAAACTGCTTCAAAAATTGCCAGGACACAAGAAAAAAAACCCTCAGACTGCCTTACTTCTAATTATGTCCTTCTGCTTTATACAGAGATTTCAAAGCCCTTTTCAGAGATACGTAAACAAACGTTATCCCTGCTTTACAGATGAATTAACAGGGACAGAGAGATGTGAAGTGACTTACCAGCACCACGCAGCTGGTCAATGATAGTTAGGAACAGAATCCAGCCTGATTCCTGGTTTTACTCTCAAACTCACCAGCCCAAAAACTAAGCATCAGTGAGGTTCTACCCATAAAATATCTACAAAAAGTGCTGCTCACTATGAAACAGATATCCCTCTGTGTGTCATAAACCAAAATGAAAATTGTTGGGTACAGAGAATACATCTTCCTTCTGGTGAAATAAGAGCCAAGGTTTTGTATGAATCATACATATGTGTAACTACACGTGCCTACACAAGTAACATCCACACATGCATGCTGATACATCAGAGAGTGAGAGAGGCTAGCAGATAAAATAATTTAGTTCAAGTTGAAAATCTCCGCAATTTATTAGCAAAATATGTCATGCTAAAAAATAGCCGGGGTGTGGTGTAATTCCAACACTGTAAGGGATTTCTATTCTGTTTATCTTATTTTAGTATTATAATGGCTACATAAATGAATTTGATGGAGGAAAGCATCCAGCAAGCACTCTGGAGTCTTATTAAAAAATCAGCATAAACCCCACCTTTAGTTTTTCCACCTTCACTGCAATACTGTATTAATGACATGCAGCTGTTACATTTGCCTGGTAAACCCCTGCTGAATCATAGAATTGGAGTATCTTTTTACTTTTGCAGATACCTGTAGTGATGGATCGTGTATAAACCAGCTTCTCTCTACAACAGTTACTCCCGCTGTCATGTGGTTCTTAGATTTAGCTCCCCTCTACAGACTCCATCATGGGCCTGTTATTTCATCATCGGTATTACCAAAACCATATTTGAAGAGCAGAACACATTAATCACCTTTTGTGAAAGGAGTTTGTAGTGAAAGAATGGCTAAGGCTATGAAAGAATATCCCATTGGAATACTATTACGGCAGAATTATTTACAGTCTCTTCATGTTTATTTTGCCCCACATGCTCAAACAGAAATAATTAATTTTAAAAGTGAAATACAAAAGTTGCTGCCTCTAACAGATCCCCGTTTTACATGTATTTTTGCAATACTACAGCATATAATATCCTACGAGTTACCAAACCCAATGAGTTGCAACAAAATTTAAAGACAGACTGTATTATAAGTACATAAAGAATAGATCAATTACAGTGTATTATTAATTTGTTTACAAAACAATGGGTTTCATTATTCACTCAAACATCAGAGCAAATGACTAAAGCTTTAATTTTCATATTTATTTATGACTAGATAATTACACACAAAGAAGGTGATTTAGCCTCTTAATCTACCTAGCTTTTCAAATTTTAATTGCTTTTTAATTAAAAAAAACGATTCCTGTCCCAAGTGTCCTTAATTGGATTTCAGCAAACTTTAATAGAATCATAGAATGCTTTGGGTTGGAAGGGACCTGTAGAGATCATCGAGCCCAACCCCCCTGCAGTGAGCAGGGACAGCTTTAACCAGATCAGGTTGCTCAGAGCCCCATCCAGCCTGACCTTGAATGTTTCTAGGGGATGGGGCCTCCACTACCTCTCTGGGCAACCTGTTCCAGTGCTTCACTGCCCTCTTTGTAAAAAATTTCTTCCTTATATCCAGTCTAAACCTGTCCTCCTTTAGTTTAAAACCATCACTCCTTGTCCTGTCACAACAGGCCTTGCTAAAAAGATTGTCCCCATCTTTCCTGTAGGCCCCCTTTAAGTACTGAAAGGCCGCAATAGGGTCTGCCCACAGCCTCCTCTTCTCCAGGCTGAACAACCCCAACTCCCTCAGCCTGGCCTCATAGGAGAGGTGCTCCAGCCCTCAGATTATTTTTGGGGCCCTCCTCTGGACCCTCTCCAGCAGTTCCATGTCCTTCTTGTGCTGATGGCTCCAGAGCTGGACGCAGTGCTCCAGGTGGGGTCTCACCAGAGCAGAGCAGAGGGGCAGAATCACCTCCCTCGACCTGCTGGCCACGCTTCTTTTGATGCAGCCCAGGATTCGGTTGGCTTTCTGAGCCGCAAGTGCACATTATTGACTCATGTCCAGCTTTTCATCCACCAGTACCCCCGAGTCCTTCTCTACAGGGTTGCTCTCAATCCCTTCATCCCCCAGACGGTGTTGATATCAGGGGTTGCCCCATCCAAGGTGCAGGACCTTGCACTTGGCCTTGTTGAACCTCATGAGGTTCACACAGGCCCACCTCTCCAGCTTGTCCCGGTTCCTCATCCTTCTGGCATGTCAACTGTACCACTCAGCTTGGTGTCATCTACAAATTTGCTGAGGGTGCTCTCAATCCCACTGTCTATGTCATTGATGAAGATATTAAACAGCACTGGTCCCAGTACAGACCCCTGAGGGACACCACTTGTCACCGGTCTCCATTTGGACATCGAGCCGTTGACTGCTACCCTCTGGATGTGACCATCCAGCCAATTCCTCATCCACCGAACAGTCCACCCATCAAATCTGTATCCCCCAATTTAGAGAGAAGGATGTCATGGGGGACTGTGTTGAATGCTTTACAGAAGCCCAAATAGATGACATCTGTTGCTTTTCCCTTGTCCACTGATGCAGTCACTGGACAGTCAGGCAGGACTTGCCCTTGGTGAATCTGTGCTGGCTGTCTTTCAAACC